GAAAATGTTAATAATGCACATTAAACTTGGGTGTATTGTGGGAACATTTTTTTTTTGCCAGTAAATGTTAAACATTTACCAGCATACCACTGGGTGAACAGGATAACTGAAAATAGACTACACAAAACTACTTAATTATCATTTTACTTCTTTCTCTACCAAGAAGAGACTTTGGACCATAAAGAGTAGAAGAAAAATGGGCAATATGGAGTTAATTAACTCAGCTGACAAAATACCTGTCATTGATGAATTTGTTATCAGTCCAAATAAACTATATATCTTTTCAAGTACTGAGAGTGCTAGTAGATATGACTACTGAGCTACTGTCAGTCATACTTGAGATACCATGAAAAGGAGAAGCAACCTACAATTGATTAGAGAAATGCTTATGTTCCAGCTTTCAAAAAAGGGAAGAGAGTAAGAATCTGAAAATTAAAAGCCAGTGAACTTCTTAGGAAAAGTTGAGAGACTTAGCAGACATTTAGAAAAGGAAGCAGTGACCACAAAGAGCTAGCTAGTATGGCTTCAGCAAGAACAGGTCATGACAGACTAATCTTACTTCCCTTTCTGACGTTGTAACTATACTGGTAGATCAGCACAGGGCTGTAGGCATCATTTACCTAGATTTCAGAAAGGTTATTTGACAAAGTCTCTCAAGCAGTTCTTGTGCAAAAGATGAATGTGTTATAGATGATAACACAATTAGATTCAGAACCGGTTGAATGACCATACTCAAGGAGTAGTCACCAATGATTTACTTTTAGGAGGCTAGTGAAGTGCCCAAGGCCTTGTGCTACTTAACATTTTTATAATTGACTTGAATAAAATTAAGGTAACATTCCTAGCAAATTTCCAAATGACACAAAATTGGGAAGAATTCTTCCCAATAATGGATTACAGTCAGGATCCAAAAAGATTTTGACAGGCTAAAACATCAGGATGAATTTAAAATGAAATTTAATAGTGATAAACCTTAACACTTGACACCTGCATTAAAAAAACAAAACTGACTTCACAAGTAATAAAATGGGGGAAGCATAGACAGCAATTTACCTGAACAACACCTAGGGTTGATTAGTGGCCTAAAATCTATTAGTCTTAATTGTTACAGCAGCTCAAAAGGCTAATGAAGTTTTGGGCTCAATTGAGAGTCACAGCATCTAGGAATAAGGAGGAAATAGTCCCCTACTCCCTGCCCTGATAAAATCATATCTGAGTATTTTGTTAAGTTTTCAGAACCATAGTTTAGGTAGGACAAATAAGCTAAAGATGTACATTCTGGGCAACCAGAATAGTCAAGGGGAGGTCTTTGCTGTATGAGGATGTTACATTTAGGTTTGGGAACATTTCATGGGGGGTGTGATAGCTAACTCTGAGTATCTGAAGGGCTATCATGGGGAAAAGGGATTCAATCTGCTCTGTTTGACCCCAAATGGCAGAACAATGAGCAGAGTAGAATCTGAAAGAGGGGAATTTAGGCTTGATGTTAAACCAAAGTTTCTAATAATTAGTTATCAAAAAGTTGGTCTGCCTTAGGAGATAGTGTGCTCCTTTTCATCCCAGGCCTTCAAGTAAAGGCTGAATAACTATTTGTTAAGTTGTAGGAGTCAGTATTGTCAGGTGTGTATTTGACTAGATGTCTACTGAGGGGCCCTTCCAACTTTCAAATTCTGTACTTTTCTAGGAAAAAGTGGGAACTGGACTGAGTGGAGAGTAGTGCCCTTGGATTTTGAGGTAGGAGGGTAGAAGAGAATGAGTTATGTTTTGAATATGTTGAGTTTGAACCGACAATTAGGACATCCAGTTGGAGACATTGAGCTGGAGATTGGAACTCATGAGACTAGGGTTGGATATATAGATCTAGGAATCATTGGCATAAAGATGATACTTGAAATCTTGGGAGCAGGTGAGATCAACGAAAGATGTATAATAAGAGTATAGTTACAAAGTATTTTTAGGAAGGAGTACCTACGCCCATTTAATTTTGCACTAAGCAGCCTGAAATTTTGAGAGATATTTGATCACTTCTACTCAGTTCCTGAACAACATAACACTCATGTATGATTTTTTCACTATTCATCCCTTTGTACTACCCACATTAGTAAAATTTTTTTGACTGGGTAACCTATATTTAACCAGGTTTATACTTAAGTAAACTGGTCAGCCAACAGGCATTTATCGAAACTGCTGTTTTCCTTCCAAACTGTTTTTCATACTTAAGTAAACTGGTTAGTCAACAGGCATTTATTGGAAACTGCTGTTTTCCTTCCAAACTGTTTTTCAAACTGATGAGGTTAACTGAAATGCTTGTCACATAGATAGACCTTTGTGTTCCACGTATTTATATAGCATCACAAAAAGTGATTTTATCCCCAACACTTTATTGATCTTAGCTATAATTATTAATGATGCTTACCCTCACACTGCTACATAAGAACCCTCACAGAAAGTTTTCAGGAGGAAGTGACAGCTAGAAATGTTTTCTCAAAGGTGCAAAAGTAAGAAACTTCATCAAAAATCCTCCAACCTAGAGCCTAAATATAGTCAGGTGGTTTTTTTTCCCCTCTAATCCTTTCACTCCCGACTTTCAACAGCTGAATAGGGACAAAACAAAAAATATCCCCCCAAAATCCCATGTTGCTTAACGAAAACTCTTTTTCTTTAGTTTCCTTTAGAATACAAAAAGTGGTGCCTATGCCCACATAGCCTGATCAATCATCTGCATTTACTTATTTTTTTAGGCTAAGTTTCTCACTGGGAGTTCCCTACACTGATGAAATCAGAGGTCTGTTAAAAATTGTGTATTGTATGCTCTGAGATTCAGAAGTAGGTATTTCATTTTTGCAAAATTATGCAAGCTTTAATACTTTTGCTGTGTGCATAAAATATGTTGGGACTATTTCGCAAAGTCTTTCTAAACCACACATACACCTGGAACCTGAACCTTAACAACTAGCAGGTCACAAAGTTATGACATCTTTTATTATGGGATTGGCAGTTAGAGACAGTCTATTAAAGGTGAGGAAAGAAGTGATGGGATGTGGTTTTAGCACACATTCTGTACTTCCTCATTCAGCATAGCAGAAGAAAGAATGAAAGCAGTACTAAATGCTCTTGGTGCTTTCAAACACGATGCTAGTTATTTGGTCAACTAAGACTGAGTGGGTGGTGTCTTTCTTGGTCCCTGCCAAATATACCACTATTAAGCCAGGCTTGGGACTCCTCGGCCCAGGAAATGAATGTGGAGGAAGACCAGCTAGGCATTCCATTTAATAGGACTACCATTTCTTTTCCTTCCTTTCCTTCTCCATAGTAACAAAGATTTGTATAAAATTTGTAGGTGCTATGGGCATTATCAATCCCACTTTACAAATGGACTAACAGGTTCAGAAAAGTTATGTGATTTGCCAAAGGTCAGAAAGTGGAAGAGGCTGAATTTAAACCTAGGTCTCTTCTGCGTTAAAGTTCTGTTCTTATTTCATCTCACTGTACTGTCTCTGTAAAAGGAGGGTGTTGGCCTTGACGATTTCCCCTTCCACCTCTAAAATGTCTATGCTTTTCACTGGGGGAGAGGGGAGAGAAGAGGATGAGAATAAGCATTTATTAAGCACCTACTATGTGCCAGGCACTGTATCAAACGCTTTACAGAATCTCACTGGACACTGAGTTAAGCTCCACTTAAGTCCTACTCTGACTCCCTCATCTTGGGCATGAAGGGGACCCTGGGTTTCAGAAAGCCACGGAGCATGGCTGGAGACGGCCTGAAAGTACAGGTCCAAGGTCAGATCATGTGCGCCTCTGCCCTGCGGACCGGCCAGGACAAATTTCAACTTTCACCACCTCCAGGTGCCGGAGCTGACCGCTGCAAATCCCGAAACTTCTTTTCCCCTCATGGGAACCTGGGCTAGGGGTCACCGCGGGGGGAGCGCTGGCTAAGGCCGTGTGACCCTCCCTGGGCAGGCCCCTTCCAAGTCTGCCTCAGTGTCTGCCTCCGTATAATGGGGAAGAGAACGGCACCCGGCTTACTCCCAGGGTTCTGAGGAGGCTCGGACGAGCTGGAAAGCGCTTTGCCAGCTTCGAAGCGCTACCTAGGTGCTAGATCCCAAGCAAAGACACCCCGGGTGTTTCGAGCAGGATTAAAGGCCTCTGGTTTTAATGGACACGTTGGGGGCTGTCTCCAGTCGCCGAGGGCGCAGCGGGGCGGGCGCGGAGGATGCCCCTCTCCCGCGTCTCCCGAGAAGCGTCCACTTCCGGCCCCCCCTGCCCGGCAGGGAGCGCCGCGGGGGCGGGGCGCGCGAAGGCTCCGGCTCCATCCGGGTCTCTTCAACCCTCGGCGGCCCTTAACAGCAGGGGGCGCGCTCGTCACCCGGCCGCAGGGGCGGGACGGGGCGGTAGCAGCGGCGGCGGGAGCCGGAGTTCGGCCCCTTGACGACGGCGGCGACGATCGCGGCGGCGCCGCGTTCCCCCGGTCGCGTTGGGCCGAGGCCGCTGGGGAATCACGCCACACCGGGTGCGTGGTCGACGCCCGTACTTCCCCTTCAGTGTCTCGCGCGCTCCCCGAAGACGCAGTAGCGCAGACGACCCGCACACAGCGCGGAGCTGGCAGTGGGGGAGGAACCGAGCAGCGAAACAAGCGGCCGGGAGCGGAACGCCCCTCTCGGGGCCGGCGCGTCACAAAGGCGGGAGGTGGTGCGGCCCTGCTCGCCCATTGGTCTGTCTGACGGCTTTCAAAAGGGACTCCCCGGGGGCGGGTTCTGTGTTCCTAGCCGCTCGCCACGGGCTGGCTCTCCCTTAGGCCCCGCCTTCCGCCTCGGCCTCCGCCAACCCGAGGCGAAGACCGCGGCAGAGCCACCCGCTATAGCGGGGGCTCGCGCCGGAAGGAAGCGACGACGCGCGAGTCCTGGCGAGGTTATAAAAGGAGAGGGGGGTGCCTGGCGGCGGGCGGAAGTGGGCGTTTCGGCTCTGCGGCTCGCCTTACGTTGGTCGGCTGCCTCTGGGTTGCGGGAGCTACCCGAGTCCTCGGTGACAGGGCCTCCTCCGTTCTCTCCCTTGTCCCTCGCCGGCCCTAGCGACGGACGACACGAGCGGGTCGAGCATGGCGCGGGCGGCCATCTCCGAGGTGTCCGAGTACCTAAGCCAGAATCCACGGGTGGCCGCCTGGGTGGAGACGCTGCGCAGCGACGGCGAGACGGACAAGCATTGGCGCCACCGCCGCGAGTTTCTGCTTCGCAATGCCGGAGACCTGGCCCCGACCGCCACCACCGAGGCCGCCTCGGTGGAATGCGGGGACCGCCGTCGCCAACTGCAGCAGCTCGTCTCTTCCTCCATGGCCTGGGCCAACCATATTTTTTTGGGGTGCCGGTGAGTGATCCGGGCCTGGGCCTTGTTCGCCGTTACCGGGGCCCGAGGCCTGTGGGTGTAACGCGAGCGGGGAGGAGAGCATCTGGAGCCGGTCGGGCCGGGCAGGACGCGGTTGTGGGCCCTTGCCCTTCCTCGGCTCCACCCCCCCCACCCCCAACCCCCGTTTGTGGTGTGGACGTCAGCCGTGTTCTTTCTCGGTCAGCTGGTAGGAGTCGTTAGTCTGGATCAGATGAATGGCTTGTAGGCCCAGCTGGGGGGAGGAGAGAAGGCGGAATCCATCCCTCAGTGAGCACGTTTATTTACGGGTTATTTCGGAAGCAGAGAATCCCTGCTGTATCTCAGTGGCTAATCGGAAGCCTCTTTCCTGTGGTTTGTCTGTATGTCCTGTGAAAAAGACTTGCGGAGAACAGTCAACTTGTTTTTCTTTTTTTAGGTATCCACCAAAAGTTATGGATAAAATACTTAGTATGGCTGAAGGCATCAAAGTGACAGATGCTCCAATCCATACAACAAGAGATGAACTGGTTGCCAAGGTGAAGAAAAGAGGGATATCGAGTAGCAATGGTTAGCAGATCATAGATGTAAACATATATAGGAGCATAGAACATAAGTTTATTTTAGTGCTGTGACCTCATGCTTCATATTAACTTATATTTCTGACATAGCCAAACTATTTAATGTGGTTTTTTTTAAGCACAACTAGTCTCAAACTTTTTTCTATATATCTTTTGGTTCTTAATTTTAAATTTCTTTGACTGTTTTAAAACTGTCAGATATGTTTCATTTTAAGAAACTTGTGTCATGATTACATAGTAATTTTGTCCTTGGCATTATACATACCAAGTTTTTTGCTTTTGTTTTATTAAGCATCTTTCTTGCATCAAATGTCTAGCTTACTAGTAATCAAGTGGAAGTAGTCAAATACTTATTTTTGTTTTTTTTTTTAATTTTTAGATGGGGTAGAAGAGCCGTGCAAAAAGCGGGCAGTTGAAGGAAAGAGCAGTTCTGCTGGTGGTCAGGATGCTTCGAAGACTTCTGGCAAAACAGAGCAGGCAACACCAAAGCAGGAAGTCAAGGTGGGGCCAGTGTCATCCACTAGATGTGTGGGGAGTGGAGAGAACCTAAGTCGGAGCTCTAGCAGCACCTTGGAGAGGGGGAGTGTACTTTCCCAAGAGGTGGCAGGAGTAAAGTGTCAGAATAAATCCACCAGTGAGCTGACAGCTGAAAATCTTGGGTCAAAGCAAAGCATCAGCACTTCTCAGGTTGCAGCAGCAGGCCCTGAAAAGGTTTCAGAGGTAGAAACGTCAGACAAACATAGTACAACGTTAATTTCATCTGTGGCAAAATCCAATAGTCTTGGGACCCAGCTGACTGATTCCAAACAACAAAATGTATCACCTAAAAAGAGTGTTTTGGAGAGCACTTCATCTTTGGCTTCTCAGAGCAGTTCAGAGACAGAAGTGCCCCTGTTGACTTCTCAAAGCAGGTCAGAGACAAGTGTGCCATTGTTGGGTTCCCCAAGCAGCTCAGAAGTAGAGTTGCCACTGTTGTCCTCCAAACCTGGGTCAGAATTACTGCCCCTATTAGGTTCCAAAACCACTTCAGATGTAAGCACATCACAATCAACTTCCAAAACTAGCTTGGAGTCAAGCATTTCATCATCTGTTTCTAAGAACAGTTCCTCATCTAGTGTGCAAATGTTAACTCCCAAAAGCACCACCTCAGCAAGCACTTTACTGCTGACTTCTAAAAGCAGCTCCCAGGTAGCTGCTACACTGTTGGCTTCTAAAAGCAGTTCGCAGGCAGCTGCATCACTGTTGTCTTCCAAAAGCAGCTCCCAGCCAAGTGGATCAATGTTGGCTCCCAAAAGCAGTTCCTTGGCGAGTGTATCCCAGCTGGCTTCTAAGAGTAGCTCTCAGACTAGCACATCACAGTTACCTTCTAAAAGCACTTCACAGTCAAGTGAGAGTTCTGTTAGGTTTTCTTGCAAATTAACCACTGAAGATGTAAAACAGAAACAACCTTTTTTCAATAGGTTATATAAAACTGTTGCATGGAAGTTAGTGGCTGTTGGTGGCTTTAGTCCCAATGTGAATCATGGAGAACTTCTAAATGCATCTGTGGAGGCTCTAAAAGCAACATTGGATGTTTCTTTTGTTCCACTAAAAGAACTGGCAGATCTGCCTCAAAATAAGAGTTCTCAAGAAAGTATAGTTTGTGAATTGAGGTGCAAGTCTGTTTATTTGGGTACTGGCTGTGGAAAGAGTAAGGAGAATGCCAAGGCAGTAGCATCAAGAGAAGCTCTGAAGTTATTTCTCAAGAAAAAAGTGGTGGTTAAGATATGTAAAAGAAAATACAGAGGAACTGAAATTGAAGATTTGGTGCTTCTTGATGAAGAATCAAGACCTACAAACTTACCTCCAGCTTTAAAACATCCTCAGGAGCTACCATAGCATGTTTAAAAGGTCACTGCATAAAGCTTATATAGTGTTTTAACATGTGAACTGAAGTTTACTTTTGTACACTAAAATACTGGCTTTCAACATTTTGTATTGCTTTTCCCTCTAGTTTTGCGGAAAACTTATGTTCTAGTTGTCTTCACCTAGTAGCAGCAGTTGTAAGTAATTTATGAATGAATGACAGTGTGCATTTAAAGGTATGCCTTAACATCATAGCACACCAGAATGCTGTTTAATTTGCTAAAGAGTATACCCGTGTCTTCTCTTTTTAATGGTACAGTAGGTACGGTATGCAGTTCAGTATAGTCTTAATACTTTTTGTACTAAAAATTTGGTGAAAATGTATTATGAGTGTTACCTTTCGCTTTTTTTTTTTGGCAGAAAAAAAGACCCCTCCATGTGACAGTAATGGGGACCACAGTATTTAGATGGGTGTCTAAAAATCCAAGAAAACTGGAGATTTTTTAAAGTATAGAGAACTTATAATGTTAAATATGCCTGTTAAAGAGGAAAAAATAGTTGCTTCAGACTATTTTTCTTAAAAGTTGTAAACATTTTAAAATATGAAGCTGTGTGAAGTATTTAACATTATTTTACACTAAAATTGCTGCTTAATTCAGTAAGATAATATTCAACTACTTAAATTCACTAGATAAATTTATGTTCAAGGTAAAATACCATTTAACATCTTTTTTTCCAAATGAATGGATTTGTATATTAAGCACATTTGTGACTGCTACTATAAAAACACTTGATTTGTTTAGATATTAAATGCTCTAAGCTATTTTACCTTTTTAAAGAAGTTTTTGTGGTTTTTCCCAAGCTAAAATTAATTCCTTGGAATAGAAGTTGTTGTGTTTTTTGTTTGTTTGTTTTTAAGGATCAGTTACTGTATCCACCTGATAATTTTCCATAATTAACTTATTCCTCCGGATAGGCAAAGCATATTTTTCAAATCAAATACTAGATACTTTGATTTTTACTTGTAAATATGTTTTAGAAGAGGATGTTTGGGAGGAACTGAGTTAAATGATTTCACTAACAAGCATGTTAATTTCTTGTGATCTAAATTTTAATTGCATTTGATGGTAGTGACTAAATGGAATCTTGTCATGCCACAATATCAACTCACTTTATTGAGTTGGTAAATATTCTTTGGCTCTTGAAATAGCTATATTAACTAGACTAACTTCACTTTCTGCATCTGACATATTTACCCTAAGGCTTGGTTACCTTTCTTATCTTTTCCCTGGTTCTCTGAATCTTCCTTCTTTAGGTATAAGGCATATTACTCAGTAATTATAGGTCGGAAGAGAGAAGGGAGATCAACCACCTTGCAGATGCTTTTTACACTTCTAAAGGGAAACTACCTTAGATTGTAGAGAAACTAGAACTTATGTTTCTGGAAGCCCTTACTGCTTTCAAAAAATTTTTATGACAACATTTGTTTGAACTTTATGAAAATTCTGTGAAATAGGACTTTTTAGAAGACAAAACGTGAAACTCACAGGTTTTGTGACTTAATAAAGTCACACAGCAAATAATTGAGGAACAGACCACTGGGTCTCTTGGTTCTCAAATCAGTGGGCTTTCTGTCTGGCTGCCTTTTTTGGAGTATATGGAAATGTTTCTTTCTATTATACCTTAGAAATTAGTAGCCAAAGTTATTCTCTATGGATTTTAGCATTTAAAACCTAATTAGTAATGAGGTTCTACTTCACAAAGTGACTGTAAAAAGCCACATGTAGATTTTTTTCTGTACTTTAGATTTGTGATTACATTAGTGTGAATACACCCTCCATTGGTGCAGATTACCACATCTTTCTGCACCTCAGTATAGATGGTCTTTATGCTGTAGCTAGCCTGTTTATCCTCCCAGGAGAGATACCGTAGTCTCTTTGTAGACTCTTATCTCTTGAAAGTCTTTTCCCTCTTGAGAGAGAATCTGCAGCCTACAACAGTTATTAAAGAGTCCCAAGATTACTGCCATTCCACAGTGAGACAGAGATGAAATTCAGTGGAGGTTTTAACTAACTGCTAATTTTAATTTGTATCCTTAGAATGAGTTACTTGGACAACTTCCTTAAGTGTCAGTAATGTATACATAGTGTGGAAATAAGTTTCCATTGCTCTTTATCTCAGGTCTCCTGGGGAGGAGAAGAAAGGATGGGGTAGTGATTACTTAGAAGTATAGATAAGAGCAGAAAGAAGCAAATCTTGTAATTTACAGAATTAATTTCAAAACAGGCTGACTACAGATGTATGGAAGGACCCTATTCTGAGCTAGAATATCCAAATACTTTTACCTTGTCTTTTTGTGAGATGAAATAGATATTGAATATGCTAGCTACAGGAATTTCTTGGTATAAAAAAAATGCGATCTTTTAAAAAGTACCGTGTGAAAGGAAAGTTACAAATAGAATAAGGAAAATTATGTCATCATGAATGTTGGAAAAATACACAATAATTTAAATTTAGTTGATCAAATTAAAAAGACTTTAAAAATAACCTCTGAAAGTTATGTATGATAAGGCAAACGACTAATCTTTTTTAAAATCAACATCAGCCTTAGATTTATAGAGCACTTAACTCACTGCCTTGTGAGGTGATAGGCAGTACAAGTATTATCCCCATTTTATAGGTGAGGAATCTGTCTCAGGTATCCTCAAACCTCTAGGAATCCTGACTTCATGTCCAGTCCTCCATACATCCAAATGAGTTTTGTGTTCCTTCAGACTCATCTCCTTGGGATACTTTACAGCAGTAATGCTTGCACTATTAAGGACTTTTTTTGGAATTGTTTTCAGAGTTTATCTCATTCTCAGTGGTGACAAGTCTTCATCCTCAGAGTGGATTTGACTTTTGGAAATAGTCAAGTGTCACTGAGCCAGGCCTGGCAAATAAGGTGGGTAATCAAGCAAAGTATGAGACAAAATAGCAGAATACGTTCTTGTGTGGCTCATTTGTTTGCTCCAAAGGTGATTGCAGAATTTTCTGGTGGAACAGCATCACTTGGAATCAGATGAACGAATTCTTTGGGAGCAACAAATGCCCTTTCAGTAAGCCTGGCCTCAAGCACTAAAGATGGGATGGAATGAGTTATTTGTTGACTCAGCCTCCCAAGATAATTTCCCTTAAGGTACAGCTTTAATGGATGTGTTCTTAATTTTTAAAATTTCATTTCACGGTCACGTATTAGAAAGGTCCCACTTATATGTGCTTCCTTCCACCCCACCCCCCATGTTCCCTACATTGTAGTCCAGTTTAAATTCTAATGTTGGCATGTGAGTATCTTGTTGAAAGTAGGTCCTTAGTATCAACTTTGTATTGGCTCCAAATTCTCTGCTGCCTGAGATCATTGCTAAGACAGTGCTACACTTTGACTATACATTGTTGCTCAAAATACTGCCTTGGTTTAACAGTTTGAAAATTTTTTTATTATAAACTTAACTATCAACAACGAGGGGGAAAATCACACAAAACCATAAAAAAGCTTTAATGAAATAACATCTAATTTGCTGTCTTCTGATTTCTGTCTACTTATTAGATTATGTTATGTTAGTTTTTCATAATGATCAATGTCTGTGCATAGTGTTGCAATGTACATGCATAATGTTTCATAATAAAGCATTAATACGGTACATTCTTCATATTATTTTCTACTTCTTTAACAAAATAACATTTCACATAAGTTAGCCTTTGCATTATTTGAAAATATGTAATTATGGGGCAGCTAAGTGGCACAGTGGATAGAGCTCCAGCTTTGGAGTCAGGAGGACCTGAGTTCAAATGTGCCCTCAGAAACAACACCTACTAGCTGTGTGACCCTGGGCAAGTCACTTAACCCCATTGCCTAGCCAAAAACAAAAAACAATGTAATTAGACAAATTTAGCTTTTGTAACAAAGCAATCTCTTAGCTTCTTGGCCTGAGAAATACTCTTTTAGGGCTAAAGCCTTAAAAGAATTTTTAGGGTTTGATCTGTTAGCTTTTTTTGGAAGGTGGGAGGTAAAAAAAGGCATGTTAAATCGAGGAGGGGAAGGGCCAAGGTTTTGTTTGTCTTCAGATTATATGTCCCTATACAATTATTGAAAATTATTGAAACACTTCATACCTGTCCCATGTAGTCTCTTCTCCAGCTCTTCAGTGATTTAGTGCTGAAGGACAACAGGTAGCTGTAAGCATGTTAATGTGAAATTGTTGGAGGTTTGCCCCTGTGATTTCACTAATGTGGGAAATTCCTTGGTCAATGAAGATCTTAAAGTCTTAGTTATCTGTGTTCCTAAGAAGTCAGAGTGACTTGCCCAGGGTCACACAGTGTGAGGCAAGCAGAGACAGGACTTGAAACTGAGGTGGGTTCGCTATCCATTATGTAGCATCTTAGCTGGAAGGAGCTTTATGTATAGATCATCCAGTCCAGTACTCCATTTTACAAATAACAAAATGATCCAAGTTTGTAGTGTAGAAACCTGAGCCAGCTGGCGTCTGCCTTTATTGTGCCAGTCTGCATTTGAATCTGTATGTGTCAGTGCCTACTAAGGAGATGGAACTTGAATTGGACAAGGTGAATATATAACAGAAATGGAGTTTCGAAAAATCATGCTCAGTTTAAACGGAACAGAGGATAAATTTATCCAGAAAGACTGTTAGAAAATCTTTCAGAGCAAAACTAACGGACAGAAGTTAGAAAAGAAATAGGAAGAGTATAGGTGTGGAGTTATTAAAGTACAGTATGTGACTATAGAATCCCAGATGTGTATGATTGCGATGCTCAGCTAGCTATGAGTGGCTAAGTAAAAACTATTCAGAGTCAAGGGAGCAGTTTTGAACTTTAACAAAAAGGACCGAGCAGGAACAGACCAGACACCTTGAGGGAACTAGGAGCTAAAAGAGCCTAACCCTAAGAGTAAGTGTAGGGGGACCTACTGGAAAAGGGTGCCTGGAAGCGATTGCTTAATTATCACTTCCAGGATCTGGGATTCCATTAGTATGGGCATTAACTAAGACTTCCTTAACATGTAGTTGAATCCAACTTCCTCCTGAGTGCAGGACTCCCTTCTACTGTGTGTTTTGTAGATGAGATCCTCCCTGTTTTCTGAGGCAGTTGTTTCCATTATTGGATAACTGATTGTTGGAAATTCTTCCTTATATTGAATTGCCTCCCTGTAACTTGCACCCACTGATTTTAGTTCTGCCTTATGGAGCCACACAGAATAAGCTTAAATCTTCCCCATGACAATTATTGTTTCAATAAATTATGACTGCTGGGAGATCCAATGATGGAACTGAATGGAGTTGTGAAGGTTCAGGAGCTGAATCTACAGAATGTTGTCATTGTTCCAATTGTCTCCTGGATCTGCTCAGTATTGACACTAATCTTTTGCTGCAGCTAAGTAAGCCAACACTACAATTTCAATATACACTTTCTCAAAATACTGCCTTTGGTTATCTTGAAAATGTTTCATTATAAACATAATTTCAGCAACAAAAAGAAAATAGAGAAAATAAGCTTTAACAAAACATCTAATTTGTTCTGTTTCCTGATTTCTGCTTAATGATTTTGTTGCTTTTATTTTGATGCTTCCAAGTATGGGCAATATAGGACTTCAAGGGACAAAGACCTGTCACAGGCCACAGGCTCCTTCCTTCCCTTGAGGCACAAAAAACCCCAAACCCTCCAGGCTATCTCACAGTTGACTAGAGTCAGAGTGATAAAGTAGAAAGAATACTGGGTTTTCTTTCATTCAGAAGAACTGTGTTCAAATCCCAACTCTACCATTTATTTCCTGCATGACCTTAACCTCTCTGGGCCCATTTCCTCATCCATAAAATGAAGGAGTTGGATTAGGTGGTATGTAAAGTTTCTTCTAGCCTGTGAGCAGATGCATTGCTGAGGCCTTCTGGGATTCTGCTTGCTATCCACTTCCTCACTCTCCTATACCATATTATAACTCACTTGTATATCCAGTCTGGTCCAGTCAGGCCCAGGAGACATCAGCACTGAGGACTAAGCCAAGCCAACTTAAATACCTATTGGATTTGGGTGGAATTTGTGAACTTTCCATGCTTGAAACTTGTGCTAGATTAATCCAAGACTATCTGTAATTTCCTGAATTGTAGAGGTCACAGTAATAATAAGAAACATCTATGCTATAAGGTTTGCAAAGCACTTCACATATATTATTTTCAGTTGCTTCTCCCAACATCCTTGTGAAGTAGGTATGATTATTATTCCCATTTTATACAGGAGGAAATGGTGATTTGCCCAAAGTCACACTGCTAGTGAATATGCCAATATTCAGACTCATCTTTCTAATTCAAAGTCCAGCATTTACTATACCATGCACTACCAATCAGGTATCTTCTGCTCTGAAGTTTTCCTTACACTGTAGTGACAATCAGATGGTGCTTGACCACCAGGGAGAGACTGAAAAAGATCTAGTGGGGGTAAAAATGTGGGTGTGGAGCAGGGCATATATAAATGATGGGGAAATTTTCCTTTTTTTGATTCTTAGTTGATGGATTGGTTAACTCTCTGCTTCCAAGTGGTCACAGAGGAAAAGGCCAGGATCTGGGAGGTGGTTTTGGAGGTGCTCTCTTTCATCAACATATAATCTTGGACACTAAGAAGCAAATTTGATGTACTTTAGGAGTATACTGAAGTCTTATGTAAATTCATTTTAGGTTTTTTTCACAAAGATAATTTATTGTATTTAAATTGTTCCTGCTTCATGCTAGGGGTTGGCATAGTTACTGTCAAGCCATTTTCTAGATCTCCAATAGAGATATTTATGAGTTCTTATCTTTTTTTCTAGACTTCCCTGAATATGATTAAACCTCTATCCAGTCAGATTCCCCTTTGCATCTTTCCTTTCCTTTATGCTAGTTTCAGCCTGTACTAAAATAGCAGAACTGGCTTCTTTTAGCTTTTGATGCTTCCCCATGGGCATGGAGAGGAGCTTGGGTACTGGAAGGCTATGGCAACAGAATGTTCTACCAAGCTGAAGTTTCACCAAGGGGTCCAGCATCCATAAAGTATATGTGTATTCAACAAGAACTAACCTAGATGAATTTGGAGAATCTGTGGAGTGATGAACTTTTTTGTCCCCAGTAATTTTTAAAGATATCAAAGTGTGAAGGGTTGAAATCTCCAGTGGAAGAGGTACCCACTCCAACAAAATTACAGGTAACTTGAAATACTGAAGTATGATAAAATTAAAAAATACTTTCCCCCCCTATTTCCTACTCATTTTCCAGCTTCTCCCTGACAAGAAAAATAGTAAATATTTGTATTGGGTATGGGCCTCTTTTAAGACTCCTAAAGCTACCTTGCAACTTTGCTCTGGACATTGGTCATGCCCTTCCTTTCATGCCTAATCACCACCACACCTGGTCTTTTTTTTCCCCCTGGAAACCTTTACATCTGTTTGTATTCACTCTGATTGAGCTGACTGTCTTTCGAGAGACAAAACCAAAATGCACACTGGGAAATGAGACCTGACTCTTCCCTATAAAACTTAAGACCTTTCCTTGCTTCCATGGGCTGCTCAGGTATGAAAGTAATTGCAACCCAGGAGTTTTTTTGATACAAACTATTAGAAATGACAAAGGTTGATGAAACTCAGTGGATGTAGCAAAACCAGGGACTTGCTAATTCTTGATGACTCCAATGATGTGGATACCCCCAGCACTCGTAGGATCACAACTATCCATGCTTTCTCATCCTGTGTTACTTATGCCCTACCAAAAATTTTCCTAAAGAATCTACCCCAGCATCCTGAAGCCTTCCCAGATCTTTGACATTTTGCAGGTATTAGCACAGCACTTGGACTGTCCATGTCTTTCTTGCTCTCGCTCTAGTATAAGCCACCTTTTATGAAAGATTCACCTCTTTTTCCAATAATAAATTTCCATAAATTTTTTATGCCACCTTTTGTACACAAGTCATCACTGGTTATATACTACAACCTAGTTACACTCTCTGCTGCCCTTTAGGTCAGTTGTCATTTTTATTCTTTCATGAATCTTGGTGTTCCATGATTAATTTCATATATAGCATTGTGGAAGAACACTGATATTTAAAACACTGATTTTTTTTTGTCAGAGGGATCATTGAAATCATGCAATTTTACAAAAGCAATACAGGTCACTTTGCATAGAACATTATGCATGACTGCAGCAAATCACTTTAGCAATGTACTTCCATATCATGCTTCTAATCAATCAACAAATATTAAGCACTGAACTATATGCCAGGAATTCTACTAAGTAAGCACTGGGGGTACAAAAAAAAGCAAAAACATTCCCTGCTCCCAAGGTGCTCACAGAATGAAACTAAATGACTAGGCACACGTGCACACACACACACACACACATACATACACATACACACATGTATACAGGTATACATATACACAGAGTAGACAGAGCATCTCACAGGGGATTAACTACTCCCACCCTGCAAACTGGTAGGATTAGGAAAGCCCTCTTGCAGAAGGTAAAATTTGAGCTGTCTTGAAGGAAGCCAGGGAAATTATGAAGTAGAGGTGATGAGTAGCATTCTGGACATGGAGGGGCAGCTATTCCAAAGACTGGGAGATGGCTTGTCTGGTGAAAGGAACAAGTGGGCCAGTGTAACTGAA